TGGCCAGCCAGCTTCTGTAAATAAGTGAGCTACGGGTTTACTGAAAGTCTGGTCTCAGAGAGTAAGGTGGAGGACTGGCAAGACAGCTTTGTGGATAAGGGCTACTTGGTACCAAGATGGACAGTCTGAGTTCCGTGGAACCCGCACGGCAGAAGGCAACTGACTCCCACAAGTGGTTCTCTGGCCTCACATACATGTGGCGGCACCTGTACATGTGTGCATGAACAGAGACATGCGTAAAATAATGAAGGCAGAGGGCAAGTGAGGAAGACACCTAGACATTGGCATCTAGACCCCACGTACTCCCATCTGCGCGTGTGCAGTGAACATACACATCACAGGTACCCATACAAGGCGTTCAAAGAAGGCGTTTACACAAGCTTGGTGAAAGGTGGCATAGTCTCTCATGGTGAATTCTAGTTCTCCATACGTGGGAAGGCTGCACACCAGGCCTCACTCTATAATCCCTGTGCACACACTTCGCCAGCCACGGAACCGATGGGATTGTCTTAAGTGGAAGACTTGGAAGAGGCTGCTGTCTCTTCCAGGGAACAATCATTATGGAATCCACACCTTTCAAACATTTCATAGAGATCTCCCACTGTATTAGAAAGAGAAGACCAAGCGAGTTGAGGCACCCCAGCCTCAGAGGCCCTTATGGACTATTGGCATCCGTATAAGAAGAGCTGACTGACATAGAAGGGCTTGACCTAGTAGTGACTGCCCTGGGTGGGTGAGGGAACACTCCTGAGAGACACACGGAGGAAAGTGAGCCTCTTTTTCCACCTCCTCCCGGACTGGTTCTAGACTGAATTGCTCCATTTCGTGGAAGTAATGAGATTAAAAGAACTGATAGACTCGGGTTGTTTCAGTTTCTGGAATAAACTAGAGAGACTGACGTCCCTATGCCTCAGTTTCCTGGTGAGAAAATGAAAACAATAAGGCACACGCCTTCCCAGGCAAGAGGGGGCAGGCGTGCAAAGTATAAAAGGTTTTCATCTTTCTGTAGGATACACATGTGTAAAAGAGTACGCATTTTTTAAAGATTTATGAAAACATAATGTTAGCCATGCTGGAGAGTTATCACCAGTCTTTATGAAGACGCCGGCAGTGGCCAAATGTGTTTGCTGCCAAGAACCGTAAGAACCCTGCTTCCCTGTCTCAACACTTAGTTCTGAGCTGAGAGATGCCGCGAGCAAGATAAGAGGCCTGCAGTTTGTTGTCCCGAAAGCTTTCCAGCTGGCAGCCTACTTCCTTTCTGTTTTTATGAATGGCGGTAGTATTATGATTTGGTCTGCGCTTTTTTTTTTTAAAGACCAAAGCCATTCATAAAAATAAAAACAACAAAACAACAACAACAGCAAAAACTTTCTGGGCACAGACTGGAGCCATCGGGTGCCAGAGGCTGGGAAAACATCCCAGCAACCTTAACCGCAACCAGCACTGAAAGCAAGCGTTCAAGGGTCTGTTTGTTTGGTGGCCTGAGAAGCATGGAGGGCTGTGTCTAAGTGTGGCTGGGAGAAGTTCTGTGACATGAACTAGGCCGGCAGCCAAGGCTGGCAGAGGTTCAGACATTGTCTTTCCCCTCGCTGGAGTGTCAGGACCTAATTCATGGAAAATTGGGTGAGCTGGCAGCTCTTTCCGAGAGTTTCATTGAGACGCAGTGTGCAGCACTCGCGTGAATGGAGCTCCTCAGCCAAGAAAGGAGGGGGCTGGTGAGGAGTAGGAGCCAGGCAGCCTGCGAGAATGTGTGTGGGTTTCAAACGGGCTTGGGAATTAAAGGGCACAGGTGTAAGCCGCAGGAGACATGAGAAAAAAGAAAGGTGATTTCTCCTTAGAAGTGACCTTTTGGAAACGAATACTCCCTCAGTGCACACTATTGGATCCTAAGAGGCATGAAGTCCTGTGCTTCTTGGGTTCAAGTCTGCCTGGGGAAAAGAAAAAAGAAAAAAAAAAAAAAAAAAACAACCAAACAAAAAGCCATCATCTCAAAATCTGGGGTTGGGTGATGTCATTTCTACTTCCGTTCAAAGTCGTGGGTTAGACCTTTCCTTTTTTTGTTCTTCAGTAAGTAACAATATCTTTTTTCCTCCCTTTTTAAGTCTTTAAATTTTTTTAAAATCATCCATCTTTTAAAAAATGCTGTGCAACTAAAAGATACAAAGAAAAAAGACAAAAAAATACTGTGCAAACTTTATATAACATTTTCAATATACAAGGAAACAGCAGTCCTTTGTAGACATGTTGACTGAGGTTTCTGTCCCGTCTCATCTATTCTGTTAGCCACATGGCTTGGTACCTTTTTCAGCGAGGCAGTCACATCTTCCTTGCTCTGTGTCTGGCTTCCTCTGTGTGTTTCTTTGGGGCTAAAGGGCTGCAGACTGAAACTTTTCTCTTCCCAGAATTCTTGTTGCCCCGCCTATATTTCCTGCCTGGCGACTGGCCAATCAGCGTTTATTTAAAATACAAGTGACAGGATAAAAGACCATTGTCCCACAACACAGACATTCTGTACTCTGTACATAGGGAGTTTAATTCAATTCTTATGTTTCTGAAGGCGTGTAGCAATTTCATTTCTTTCACTTGCATCTTTGAATCAAGGTGGCTCAGTTATATTTGCAAACTTCAGGAATTGTGTAAATGGAATTAATAGAGTTTATAATAAGACATAAACATATCCTCAGGAAGTGATTTATCAAAGGAGTGGGGCTTCAAATATACCTTTTGTACCACTGAAGAAACTTTGATGGAAGATTAATTTAGGCTGCAGGAATATCTCACTCTGAAGTTTCACTCAGAGAAGAGAGGAGTACTGGTCTACCAAGACAATGAAATGCATAGGTGTGAATATGAAAATAAATCTCCATAAGACACCATCACAAAAGTGAATAGATTGAGCTGGGCTGCTGGCATGTGACTTTTAATCATAGTACTGGGGAAGCAGAGGCAGGCAGATTTCTGAGTTTGATGATAGCCTGGTCTACAAAGTGAGTTCCAGGAAAGCTAAGGCAACACCAAGAAACCCTGTCTGGAACAAATGAACAATCCATGAAACAGACTGTAGATCTGATAAGGATTGTATCCAGAGCACAAAGAACTCTTGGGTCTTCTCTTAGTTGGGTTTCTATTGCTGTGATGAAACACCATGCCTAAAGCAAATTGGGAAGGAAACGGTTTATTTGGCTTACCACTTCCACATCCATAGTCCATCACTGAAGGAAGTCAGGACAGGAACTCAAACAAGGCAAGAACCTGTATTCAGGAGCTGATGCGGGGTATGGAGGGTGCTGCTCACTGGCTTGCTCCTTGTGGTTTGCTCAGCCTGCTTTCTTACAGAATCAAAAGCCACAAGCCCAGGGATGGCCCCACCCAAAATGGGCGGGGCTTCCCCTCGTCAATCACTAATTAAGAAAATGCCTTACAGGCCTGCTCTTAGGGAGGCCTTTTTTTAAAGTTAGGTTTCTTCCTCTCAGATGACTGTAACCTGTGTCTAGTTGACATGCTGACATAAGACTAGCCAGCACAGGTCTCAATGTTGAAAGAAAAATGAATAACAGGTTTTTTTTAATGAGCAAAGCATTTAAAGACACATTTCTTTACAAAGCCAAATGGATGGCTAGTAGGCTCATAAAAATTGCTTCGTGTAATTAGTGAATAGAGAATTTAAATAGGAGCAATGGTATTTAACTTTCCACCCAGTTGGAAGTCTAGAATAAAAGTGACAGACAGTAATAAGTGCTGACACATATGCGGAAAAATCAGTACATCACTGGTGGGCCTGACGTACTTGACATTTAATGTTTACACCATTGTGTAACCACTTTGGAAACCCATCTAGAAGCTGCTCAACTTGGGGAGGGGCAACAATACCACTTCCACGTTATCCATAATAAATAAAACATACCCACACTGGAGTGTGTTTATGCATGCTCATAGGAGCTTCTCATAATAGCCAAGAGGTGGAAATAGCCCAGATAGACACTGACTAATCCGCATCCGAGAGTTAAAATGTGGTCTACATTTGCCAAACAAATCAATTAACTGTTGATACTATAGTAGTCATTTTCTCAGTTCTGTTACAAGAGGCCTGACAATGGTGATTTAAGACAGAAGGGGCAGAGTTGGGCTTACAGTTCAAAGCCACACAGTTCACAGTGGTGGGAAGCAACGGGGGCAGGATCCTGAGGCAGCCGATCACGTTCCTTTCTCTCTTCGGAAGCACAGAGAGATGAGTGCATTTGCTCAACTTCCTTCCTCATTTTTTACTCCCTCTGGGACCTAGACAATGGGATGGTGCTGCCCCTTTCCGAGTGGGTCCTCTCTCTTCAGTCAAACCTTCTTGGAAACTTCTTCACAGACACACCCGGAGTGTATTTCCATGGTTATTGTCAATACCATCCTCACCAATGAGAAAGGGCAGATGTGCAAGGCATGTTGCATGATTCTTCCAGTATGAAATGTCTGGAACAGACCAATTCATATAACAGAGGGTGGATTGATAGTAAATTCAGTTTAGGAGGTTGACTAGAGAGGTGGACAATAACAGGCAGTTGCCACAATTGGGTACAAAGTTTCTTTTATGGAAAGTGAAAATGTTCTGAAATTAGGTTGTGGTGTTCACCTCTTGAGTATAGTAAAGCTGACCTCTTTAAATGGGCAATTGTGTGGTTTATACATTTTGTCTTGGAAAAGATTTTGAAAAAAAAATGTTAGGCTATTGGGGCTTTCCGCTCTTCAAGTTTTATAACATGCAGACTGAAAACTGAGTTACTCTTAACAGCGAATCTATTCCAGTGGGGGCACTAGAGAGCCTGTGGCGTCCTCCTTCACAGTGGAGACTGGGAATAAACACTCTTTAACTTAGATCAACTTTTCAGATGTTGAATTCTCTCCTTTGCTTTGCAGATCCAAACCCACATTTAAGGCTTGAATACTCAAGTTTTTCCCCCTGTACGTTTCCTTTTAAAATATAACATTTCTCTTGTTTGTTTCTTCCTTAGCCACAGCAAGTCGTCCAGAAGAAGCCTGCTCAGGTAAGACATGATCTTTTATGATTTTTCTCCCAAAAGAACACAAGTAAAATATGTACCCAAAAAAGTTTTCCAAGCCTTAAGTTAGCATTTTCTCATTTTGCTTGTGCATAGAAATACTCTTGACCATTTGCTTTATCCTTCCGAGTCAGGAATATATATATATATAGATATATAGATATAGATATATAGATATATATATATAGTCTGGGAGTATTGACTGAAAACCACAAACAGGGCCGGTGAGATGATTCACCTGGTGCAGGCATTGCTGCCAAACCTGACAGTCCAAGTTTGCACCTCAGAGGCCACAGGGTAGAGGATAAAGCCAGTGCTTGCAATTTGTACTCTGACTTCCACTCACATGTCATGGTCCCGTGTGTGTGTGTGTGTGTGTGTGTGTGTGTGTGTGTGTGTGTGTGTGAAAACGGAAGCAACAAAACACCAAGACCTTCAGTGTGAAAAAGGCACAGTACCATACAAAATAAAACTATGTTGGAGCTGTAAATAAGAATTTAATCTTATTATTATTTGTTTTTGTTTGTTGATTTGTTTTTGATTTTTGTTTGTTTGTTTGGAGACAAGTTCTTTTTACATAATCCTGGTTGGCCTGGAACTCACTATGTTGACCAGGCTCACCGGTCATTTCCTCCCAGGTATTAGGATTAAAGGTGTGCACCTCTATGCCTGGCTTGTTTTACCAATACCAATTCTTTTTTTTTTTTTTTTGAAAGATTAATTTGTTTATTATGTATGTCGAGATTTATTATCTATAATGAGATCTTGCCAGAAGAGGGCACCAGATCTTATTATAGATTTTTGTGAGCCACCATGTGGTTGATGGGAATTCAACTCAGGACCTTTGAAGGAGCGCTGGTTAGTGCTCTTAACCTCTGAGTCATCTGTTCATCCCATTTTCCCAATTCTTACATTTTGTCTCTTCCTCCAGACTGTCCACAGTCTTTTGACTTGACATAGGACTTACGAGTCGTAGATGACTCTTAATGTATGGCTAAAAACAGTTGATCACTGAATTGTTCTGTATTATTTGACATTCTAAAACACCTCCAGTGAGGCTGATCAACTGGAAGTCATGCTAATGTTTCACGTTAATGAACTTTCGGGCCTTGCTTAGAAATCATAACTCAGCGATATTAAATTAAAGTTACCTTCACTGCCTTTAGTCAAGCCTGGAGTTTCTTATCCAAGCTACCAGTAGTGTGTGCAGAGAAGCATGAGATTTGTCCTTGTTGAAGAAAATATAACTGACAAATTCATCACAATTTCCAAAGCTGTAAACTAAGCAATATAATATTCTGGGGAGGGACATAATTCAGGTGGAGGGCAGAGGCTTGGCTGGCATTCGTGGGGACCTATGTTCAATTCTCAGCACCAAAAACAAAGCAAAAGAGGTCCTGCTGTTCTCTTCCCGTTTGGACTTGAACAGATAAATACTCGGGACGTGCAGGTGGGACCTAGTCAAGTCAGTCATCAAGTCTTGTCATGGGTCATGAAGTTCTTCAGAAACAGAATTGAAAACCACAAAAAAAGTTGGCTTTCCCAGAGAGCTTTCACTTAAAAGGATGTTGCTTTGCTTAGGAAAACGCCATGCAGGCAATGTCCGCATGTGTCTGCGCCTCTAAAAAACACTGCTTGGGATAAAACTAAGGTTTTTGCTGGGCAGTGGTGGCCAATGCCTTTGATTCCAGCACTCAGGATGCAGAGGTATGCAGATCTCTGAGTTCGAGGCCAGCCTGGTCTACAGAGTGAGTTCCAGGACAGCCAGGGCTACATAGAAAAACAAACAAAAATTCTAAAGTTTTCAGATGCACATAAAGATACGGGGGAAGTGAATTAAAATGATTGTATGTATTACAAGTCTGGTAAATGCAAAACGATGCTAGAACACAATATATTCACTTTGCTATTCCTCAGCCTGAAAGCCCAGCACGGCACAGACAAGTGCTAAAAATAGTCAGTGTCCTTAAGCAATCTTTACCTAAACAAAATGTAAATAACACTCAATGTGCTCTGTTAACCCCTTGTCCTTCATCAGGAAGGAAATCAAGAGAAAGAGAATGAACAGGTGCTGTGTGTCTGAGTCAGAGGAAGCCCCCGGGCTCGACATTGCGTCATGGTCCGCAGATCAATAACCTCCCACATTTGACAGCATCGCCACCTGCTCTGCTCCTGGGGTCGCAGGGAAGGCACACGGAACCAAAAGCGATGCACTGGGAAAGTGCATGATGCAGAGGCTCCTACTGCAGCTGTGCTTAGAGAAGATCCATACAGGTGTGCAAAGCACCTATACTCGGAGCCGCATGTGAGCGTCTCTTTCAAATCCTGCGCTCACTTCATGTCCGCTGTATGAGTCTTTACACCATGGGAATCCATACAAGAGTCCTATTCTATTCTGACTTTTGTTTTCCTAGCGAGCCAGTTGCTAAACACCCACCTACAACCACCAGCCCCTGCTCGCCTGACTTGAAGACTTTTGCCTAAGTACTTTTTTTTTTCTTTTCTTTCCTTTTATTTCCCGAGACAGGGTTTCTCTGTGTAACGACCCTAGCTGTTCTGGAACTTGCTCTTTAGACCAGGCTGGCCTCAAACTCACAGAGATCCACCTGCCTCTGCCTCCCGAGTGCTGGGGTTAAAGGCGTGCGTCAGCACCGCCCAGCTGCCTAAGTACTTTCTATGAATTCTCTGTGTGAGCCTAATGGGCAGCCGAGAATGAACATACTCAGTGAAAAAGGAGGGGAAAAAACAGCAAGATGTTTGAACATTTGTTTAATGCGCAAATGGCCACAAAAATGTCAGTGTTTATGTGATCTGTAGAGGACACAGATGAATGAGGAGGAAGCCAGGGGTTAGTAAGGGAACGGTTCCCTAAGAGCTGAACTTCATGGCTTCCTACGATTTTGCTAGTAACACTCTAGTTACAGAGGGGAAGGTGGAGACCTAACAGGAGCTGTCGTAGGTGACATAAGTGTACAATAGTAGCAAGGCACAAACACATGCATCACAGGTAGAAATCATTAATGTGACTGCAATTGATTATAGATTGAGCTTTAAAACACTAAGGATAATAAAGCGAAATCACGCAGGACCCCCCCCCCCCCACACACACACACACCGAGTCAGGAATCTGAAAGAAGCCACAGGAGAAGCCATGGCCATCGCCGATCTGTCAGGCTGTTTTACAGACCTTGTTCCAAATTTTTCCTTTAAAGGAAAGGAGCTGAGACAGAATTAGAGGGAAGGAAGCACAGCTCACGGGACCGCCTAATTTATATTGTCTCACAGCACAGGGATGAATTATGTAAACACGGGCACTGCATGGAGGTTCGTGGAGGATAATGTAAATTTACCGAGTAGCGGAAGACTCCCTTCCATCTGGTTCTTCCCAGATACCCTCCCAGAGAGAGGGCTTGTCCCCACGGAAGTCTCTGTTGACTCAGGCTCAGCCTCTCTTCATCACTGGGAGGGGTGGCATTTAGGTCCTGCCTTGAGGCGCTGACAGTTAGCAAAATTAAGTGTGTCACCTGAAAAGTAAAGAGATCGCAATACATATGACCAGAGTGCTTCCTTCTGGCCATCCCTGAACTCCATCCCTGAACTGGGTCCTGTGTATCCATCAGGGAAAAGCAGCCCGATAACAATGACCGTTCCCTACTTCTCAGAAAAGTATGAGACAATCATAGTGTGGGGGAGGAGAAGATCATAGTGTGGGGGAGGAGATGATCATAGTATTGGGAGGAAAAGATCATAGTGTGGGGGAGGAGATGATCGTAGTATTGGGAGGAGGAGAAGATCATAGTATGGGGGAGGAGAAGATGTTCTAGCTTAGTTTTGGCTCGTAGGTGTTTCCGTATCTCAAGATTTGCGTTTTCAAAATCTTTAAGTTTTTATTCATTCAAAATGGTCCCCCTTTTACCTAACATTTCAACTGCATCTTTTTAAGATGATTTTTAAATTGAGGGAAATTGTATAGCAATTGCTAAGTCCTATCCTAAGATGAAAGTCGTCAGAATCGCCTTCATTATTTGTCCGTCACGTGGATACAGAGTCATGAGAGTCCCTGTGGTAAAGAATGCTTACAACTCCCCGGGATAAAAAGCAACAAAAGGTCACTCTGAGGGGGCAAATTCCGCATGATGCTGTCTCAGCATATGTGTGTGTGTGTTTATAAGCATGTGTGTTTATAAAAGTTTGAGGCAAGCTCTGCTGTGGAGGGGCTGAGTTGGGAAAATGCACCAGGTGCCATGAATTGCAAACCGAAAGTCTGTTGCGCAGTTCTATGGGCAAGAACTCATCCCCTTGACTCTGAAGAGGAAGTTGTCTGCAGTGCTCACACCAGCTCTCCTTAAGTTCCCAGACTACAGGGAACAAGGCTTACTAGAAATTTTACTTTGTATTTTAAAGTAATAAAGTAAACAATGGATAGAGAGGATCTAACTAATTAGAAATTGCTAGAAATTAGCGAATTTGTTGGCAAAAAAAAAAAAAAGCCCTCAACCATATACATTCAAAAGTTAGTTCCAGAGTGAAGGGGCTCTTTAGAGTTATTCCTATTTCATGAGGGAACTTTTCCCCTCCAGTTTTTGTCTTTAACCCTACCTTCTGGAAGTTTCCACTGGCTCCTCTGTCTTATTGTTCCCATTTTAACACACTGAATGGAGATTAGAAGTGTTCCCTTGTATGTAATTCGGACATTTTGCACATCGAAGGGAAAACGAGCTTTTTGTTTAGGTTCATTTCTCACAACATCCCAGCATTCAGGACACAGTGTTCATTTGTAAGCTCTCCATGAGTTAGCAAAACGGGAAAAAGCCTTCTCTTTTCAATTTCCTATCAGGAGACTTGGGAAAGAATGGGAACAAAGCGTTCCACTCCAGCATAGATTTCTTACCTGTGAGCACCTTCTGTGTGAGGTGTGCAGCTGGGATCTCCAAAAATGGAGTCTCCAAAAACCTCCATTTTCACGTGGTCCCCTCCCCCTTCCA